GTGCCAGAATAATTTTCTCGAACAGCTTGCCCAGGATCGAGGTAAGGCTGACTGGCCTGTAGTTCCCCGGGTCCTCTTTCCTCCCCTTTTTGAAGATGGGAACCACGTTGGCCCTCTTCCAATCCTCCGGCACCTCTCCAGAGCACCACGAGTGTTCATAAAGCCGTGCCAGGGGACTTGCAATGACCCCAGCCAGTTCCTTTAGGACTCTAGGGTGAAGATCATCCGGGCCAGCTGACTTAAAAACGTCCAGCCCCTCCAGAAGCTCCCTAACTAAATCCTCACTCACTCTAGGCCCAGGTGAGCCTCCCCGGGGCCCGAAGGGGGCCCAGCAGGGAGGCGGCAGTTCTGGTCCTTACTGAGGAAGACAGAGGCAAAGAAGTTATTAAATATGTTAATATCAGTCAGAAGCTTCCTCAGCAGTAATAAGCAAATGACCCTAGAGGGAAATACCTACCAGAATTCCCAGATATGAGACTAAAACCTCAAATATGTGACTAGCCGAGCCGAGAAGGATGTGGGAGGGGATGCCAGAAACTCATCCAAAAGATTCTCAGACTGCGGAAATTGGATGCCACTCCCACAGAGCTGCAGGGTCTGTCTGTGCTTGGCAATCTGTGCTTCTAAGGCTGTAGCTCTGGCAGTCTGACCCCCATGGCTACATGGGAGCCTACATTGCTCCTAGTCAGATGCAGGTTATATTGAAACGAGTCTTTTCCATGATTGTTAGATCAAGTAATAAGAAACTCTTGATTTCAAACCTTCAGAAAAACCAGGCTATTGGAGACAGGTACTGGATGGTTGTATGTTGAGAGAGAGAGAGAGAATGGTGCTTTGTCACCATATTGAGTGTCTACGTTGAACTAAAATTTAAGGCCCTCACATGTACGTTGCTGCTGTCTGTTAGAAACGCTATGGAGAGCCTTATGTTGACTTCTCTCTCTTTTTTTTTTCCCTCCCAGATATTCCATTGTTGAAGGAAGCATGAGGCCTGCTGCACTTGTTTAGCCTTCTTCCTCTTGGTTTCTCCTTTCTTCCTTGGGATGCAAGCACTCTGTGCAACCTTCCCCACCCTTGCGAGCTGTGCCCTGGATACCTCCAAGCAGAGACCCCTCACCTCATGATCCAAAGGATGTCGCCAGGTTGCCTCCTCAATGCGCAACTGGGGTTGGTGCAGTTCTGGCCTCCCCATTCCATCTGCATTACAGGCTCAAGTAATGTAATGAAGTTGAGCTCTTCCCTCTTCCCTCCCCCAGCCAGTTGTTTGACAGCAGTCTCTGCAGAGCTGCTATTTACTTGTGCCTTTCTCCTTCTCACACTGGCTTGTTGCAGCTTCTCACAGGCCTCGCAAGCTCTTCTGCTGCACAGAATGCAGGGGCCAAGGACTACTTGCTCACTGAGTGCAGATGTGGTTTATATATAGGCTCTTCTTCCAGCATCCCCTTGCATCTAGGACAGGACAGGATTCCCTCAGACTGCCAAGCCTGGGCTTGACTGAAGTTCCAGAATGGGTAATCTACACTATCCAACAGTGTTCAGCATTGTTAAGATGAAGTGGTGCCCTCTGTTACTTAGTTGCCCAATAACAAGTTATTGGGTATTGCTAGCGATGGTAAAAACAGAGAACTCTGGTGTCTTTTACAGGTTTCTGGGGATGCCTTCTGTCCCTTACAAAATCCTGCTGAAAAAGCAGCATGATTGTAAATCTGCAGGTTTCCACTCCAGAATCCCAATATCACTCCATAATCCACTTGGTATTTTTGTGTCTAGAAGTCTGGGGCTGTGTTTTCACTGAAAACTATTAGCAGTTCTTCCAGGGTTGGGCTAGTGTAGGGGCAGCTTCAGGTGTTAATCTGAGATAATTTCTGAGCGTGGCCAGCTCTCAACAAGGCCAAAAGCAAGCAGATTGATAGTACTACTTGGATCCTCTGATTTGCATTTTAACCAAGCCTATGGTAACTGGAGGTTAGCCACATTCAGTTGACACCAGTGTGCGCTAGGATTGAGCCTTGACATCTCTAAAGCCCTGCTTTTGAGGGCTTCAAGTGGCTCTGGCTAGGTTTACATAGTACATTTTCCATCCTGAGTAGCAGCCCTCATTCACATTGTGCTACTCTGGATGGGCTGCTTCCCAAACAGAAAGTAGTGCAAGGGCAGTTAAATAGCACTGTTGAGTGATGGAGCCAGTTAGCTCACCCATGGAGCCATGCAGATGGGACTACATTGCTTCTGGTTTTAAAGAGGTCCTACTTGGGCCATCATGTCAGAAGGTGCTGCCATGGGGTGGGGTGGGGGAGCACTGTAAGGGGCAGCAAGTTTGCCCTTTAGTTTACAGCCCTTGAAACTTTGAATAAATAGTAAGGGCTTGTTCCTGCTTCAGCTTGTAAGCCACCAACCCCTAGAACTTTACATGACTTTAAAACGAAAAACTATGTCAGGAATACTTTCCCCTCCCTTCATTCTGCTCCCCTCTCCCTCAAGCAGCATAAGGGCTTTTCATGTGCCTCCTGACCTCACAAACCCTCCTTATGTTTGAAAAATGTGGTCAGTGGGGGGGGGGAACCTAGCCAGGAAATGTTTTGGCCTTGGAGTTGGGATCCCTGCTGACCTTGTCAGCGGTAGTGCAGTGCTGAGCAGTGGAAGGCTGGGTCATCGCTTTCTAAATGGTTCAAACATCTCTTCCTGACTTTCTGCCATCAGAGTCGTGTGACTGTTTTATCCCAACAGATCTCTGAGCATGTGTTATAGTCCCCATCCCATAGTTGTCTTCATGGGTGGGAGAACAATGTGTTTGCTAAACATCTTTTTAAAAGCATGAATGAATGCAGTGTGGTTTCCTTGCCTGGTGCTTGGGGAGAGGGCATGGCAGGTATTTAAACAGTGGGCTACAGTATATAAGTTAGGAGTATACCCACAAAGATGGAGAATGTAGGACCTTGTTAGTACATGCTGAGGGTTGTTCTAGGTGGGGTTCCCTACAGGAAACATACTCGCTGTGCTCAGATTCAATTTCTAATACAATTCAATGGGAGCAATGAGAGATGGCCTTACACAGCAAGTTGTAACTTGTGGGTAGACACTACTTCTTTTCCCAATCATGGGTGGACTCCACTTCTATTTATAATTTCCCCCGAGTTCTCCCTCCCACACATGCACACAATTGTACCTCTTTCCAAAAAAAAATTATGAGTGTAGCAGCTGAGGTTTAGCTCACTCTCCAGCAGGCAGCGATTGGCTGCAGTGTTTAGCCAGCAATCTGCCTCCCCTGTTCATTTACACTTGCCTGTTAATTTCTAAGGCAGCTGTAGCAGTGCATTATATATCTCTTTCCTCCAACTAGTAAATCAGTTTGTCACAAGAATGGCTTAAGAGATGCAGTCAAGTTCAAGATAGTATGTTTTTAACCAACCTTCTTTACCTGTGCTATTCACAGCACCCTAGCTTACAGCAGAAATTTGGCAATCCAACTTTCCTTGTCCTGGGTGGCTTTTGTCTTTCTTTCAGTTTGATCAATAGAAATTCCACTTGTGTCTACTCAGTTTCATTTTCCGCTTATCTCTACTGCAGTGTTTGCATTTCAAACAGTGCAGAGGTAAGATTTTTCATTTGTGTGTCGTTTGCACTGGAATTTTAAAGTGAAATAGGACAAAAAAAATTAGGTTTTTAAAAATCTTTCCTTACCAAAATCGCCTCTTTGATCCAAGTTGAGCTGAGTGTGTCTGTGCACTGATCTCACATTTCTTAGCAAAGTGCTTGGGCAGGGCAGGAGTACAATGCCATTGTCCTCTGCTCTTGCAAGGCATACAATATGGAATGAGTTGTTTTAATTAGCTTAAGGTCCCTAATAATTGAGCTGATGGAGACCAATTGCACTAACATCCTCCCTTGGAGGATCTGTACCCTAAACTCAGTTCAACACTGAGGGGACAGAAAAGTACATTCTCTTAATGCCACTGGAAACTGGTACTGAGGCCTGACTTTGCACTGCACTACACTGCACGTTGAAACCAGCAGGCACTCGCCCAACAAAAACCACACAAAATGGCCCTGCTCACTCACCCCTATTCTTACAGTGTGATTAGCCCTCAACTGAAAGGAAGTATTATCAATTGGAAAAAGACAAGCACTGGAAAAAAGGGGTGTTTTAAGTTTGTTTCTCTCATAGTATTTTCGTGTGTGTGTGTGTGTGTGTGTGTGTGTGTGTGTGAGAGAGAGTGAATTTCATAATCAACACAAAACCAATCAGCACCTCTTTGATTTTTAAGAGGATGAAACATCAGCTGCTGACACTGAAACACTGCTTTGGGTGAGGATAGTTTAGTCACAGCACGCTGGTTGGTAACCTCAGATGACTCCAGCTGTCCTGGCACTTGCAGAAGACCAGAGCACAGTGTTCCTCTATAGGAAAAGCCATGGGAAGTAGAGATGTTAGATCCCATGCAAGACAAAACAAGTGGGAACAGCTCTTGGATTAACCTGTTCTTCCACCCTAAGCCCTCAGTTTTAGAGGTTTTGTACATATAAAATGAGAGTGAATAAGGGAGGGGAGAAGGGACTGAACTATTTGTTGGAGTTTTTAAAATGGGGGGGAAAGTTCCTGCTTTTTTACAGAGCAGCAAGTAGGCTGTTTCCTTCCATACCTTGTAAAAGTTTGAAGATAGGGGACATCACTAGGGGCAATGGGGCCCTAGAAGGAATATGGCATGCCTGAACTCTCATTTTAGTCCATAGGAATGAGGATTGAAGGGCTGAACCTTAAGCAACCCATGCTCATGAGGTCTGCTGTGATTGTGGCTTGTTAGTGTTAAGTCTGAGTGAAAAATACATTCCTCCTCACTGCTGTCATAGGCCACCATATTCAGGAAGAAGCTGCTTTCCCAGACAGGCCCCCGCCCCCGATGGCTTTTGTTCTGTTAGCATGCCGTATCTTGAAATACTTACCAAGAATATGACAGTGACTTTAATTACACATGATCATTCAAAATAAATAGCACTTATTTTTTTTAGCCTAATATTTTCATTAAATAAATGAAAGGACACTATTAGGAGAAACTTACAAAAAGTACTATGTGCAATAGGAACACTTCCAGGATTCCCTCTGCATTACAGTAGAAAGTGTTTTTAAGTGTATTCCTCTAGGGAATTTGCAACCCAAACAGTACGATTTCATACCAGTGTGGGAGAATCCAAAAGCGAAACTGGTAGTAAACCAAAGTGGAGCAGATTAGTCTTTCCGTACTCAAATAAAATTTGGATGGTAACTTTAATCACAGGGGTATTTTAACACAGTGAAGATTGTTAATAGCACAGGTGAGGGGAAACTTTTCTGTGGGCTTATGGACTTTTTAATAAATAAGAGCTTTGCCTCACCCTGTATGGTTATGTGCAAAG